GGTGTCGTCTGCGAACTTGCTGATGATACACCCTATGTCCTTATCGAGATCATCTATAAAGATGTTAAACAGAAATGGTCCCAACACTGAGCCCTGAGGCACATCACTTGTGACCGGCCGCCAGCTGGATTTAAATCCATTGAGCACCACTCTTTGGGACCTTCCAGTCAGCCAGTGCTTGATCCAGTGGATCGTATGCTCATCCAGGCGGTGTGAAGCCAGTTTTTCCACGAGAATTGTATGGGGGACAGTATCGAATGCTTTTCAAAAGTCCAGGTATACAATATCAACAGCCTTTCCCTCGTCCAATAATCTGGTTATCTTGTCATAGAAGGAGATCAGGAACCAGTACTTAGATGAGATTAACATATCACTGAAAAAAGTTGTCTGAGGCTTAATTAAAATAAAGACTGACATGCTTATGGGCAGAGAAAAGAAAATAACTCTGAAGAATGCCTACTGATAGCCACCCTTGTTTTCTCCTCTTCCCCCAAACTGATCATAGTTCAGTCTGTAATTTAGAAACGTTTCTGATGAATGCAACATTCTCAGCATCCATGAGTAAAGCAATCATGTCTGTGATTAGGAAGACAACCCCTATCCCATGTGCAATATTCTGTAGAGGACAAATAAATTAGAATGGACTACAGTAAGCGTTGTGCATCTTGATACAATGCCTAGAAAAACCTCCAGCTATTCCAGAACACTGTAGCATCGCTCCTGCAACATAAGCAACTCTAAATCCATTAATCCCACACAGCTGTCTGAAATGGTTTCCTCACAGAATATCAAATCAAGAATCAGTCTCAGTCCTTATCCTCAGAGTTCTCCCCAGCCTGAACTGAAGCAGGATATTTAAAAAGCCAACTAAACAGCAGCATAAGGAGGCAAATTCTTGTCCACAGTTAAACCATACAATGCAAACTCACATGCATGGGCGACAACTTTCTTTAGACTAAGCCATAACCATGAACTGAACTCTTCCAGGAACCAAGGCCTATCTGCCCAAACAAGATTCTCACATGTACAGTTTTAGTCCTTGAGCAGAGGATGAACGTGATACAAACCACTCAATGGCAGTTCACGCACTACTGCAAGTCACTGAGATACCATACTAATGCCTTCAGATAATCTACTTAAAATTGAAATACTGCCAAAATCCCAAAACAAACTGTAATATTTAGATTATGACATCATCTCACTGCCTTGTGAAATCTCACAGAGCATTCTCCAGTTGGTTTAAACTTCCAGAATTCCCTTGACTCCTGCAGAATATCTGCTCCTACAGTTAAAATCCTCAAAGTTTTTCCAGCATTTTTTCTAGTTATTCTTTAACCATACTTTGTGGATTAAAAAACAAGATTTGGAGTTACACCATATTTGCATGTGGGGAAAAAATAACATCTCCATTCCTTTGGAAACCTGATGCTTTTTAAGACTTGGTCACACATCATAAAGGCATTCACTGTCAAAAGCATCCACTCTGCTGCAGAAGTATGCAACTTCAAAGTATCCCTTTGACTACATTTCTATAGCCAGTTCTCAAATAAAACATTTTGTGATTTTATTTTAAACAAACTCCCTTGCCACTACACAAATACATGAATTCCTACTGATAGGAACAGATTTTTACTATAGCAGAATAATAAAAACTATTAATATTTCTTACCAAGGCCAATAATGGCTTTTGTCTGTACTTCTTCATCTGAATGCTTTGTAAAATACATCAGCAGTTCAAGTACTTTATCCTTAATGTTAACCTGAGAAAATTAAAACAAAAATAATAGCTATTTAAAGATGCAACACATGTTTTTAATCTCTTATAAAAAGCATAAATATCAAAAAGGAGAAACACAATCTTACTGCATGGCCTTTGCAAAACCATGCATTTACAACCCAAAAAGCTATATTATGTGCATTATGAAAAAATACAGGTACTAGGAATACTAGGCTTTCAAATTGAAGTGGAACATTCAATATACATAAGACGTGGAGAGTAAATACAAGTTATTTTACCTTACTGTTGCCCTTAAAATCTTCCTGATCAAAATCAAAATGCCGACACAGTGCTCCAACAGTGAAAAGTGATCTAAGGAGTGCTGGTTTATTGGCAGTAAGTATTGTACTGTTGGGGTCTTCTTGGTGTTGACTTTTTAATTTCGAAAGTGCACCTACAGTAAGATAAGTTTTGATCGCATTATTTAATCATGGTGTATCCCTAAGACAAGACTTGTAGCCAAAACTGAAGAGTGACAATTACATGTTGTGATTTTACTTACCATAATATCTATTAAAACAGGCCCACACAAATTTATAGTTCTGGGTGACCTTGTTCACAACAGCCCCAAGACAGCTCACACAATGCTGAACAACCTAGGATCAAGAAAGAACAAATGAGTTATATTTAGAAGTTAAAACTGACATTTTTGTGAAGTTATGTAGGAAAAAGCTATGTAGAACTAAAATTAATGATCTAATAGATGTAATGTCCATCTCCTAGACTGCTCTGAAAACCTGCCCAAACTTATAATTGTTAAAATATAGCAACAACACATAAAAACACTAGTAAACCACAAACATCAGTTTTTCATGGCTCAAAAGTTATCTTCATAATGAAGACAGACTTTCTTTAATTCAAATCCATGTATTTCGCGATGTGAAATGGAATCAACTGAATAGTAGCAATTAATAGCTTACCGTCATGCCATATTTGATGATGAGTTTCATGAGGTCTTCCTCAATAGTGGCAAGAAAGGTCTCACTTGGGTGCTCCATTAGTGGCACTACAAGTTCTAAGATTTTTGCAACGTTGCAGATCACCATGAAATCATTCTGGGTCTGAAACAACAGTATTTACAGCATTTAACATTTCTGGCTGTGTTACCTATAAGCTAAGTATTATTAATATTTATTATGCAATACATACATATTAATATTACATAATACACATTAATATAATACAATTACATAATGGTATAATACAATTATGTATCTTATGTAAGATATTTGGTAAATATTTAAAAGAATATTTCTATATTTTATATCTGCTTTTAAGTTACATATTATTTTGAAAGCAAGTTCTTGTTTTCTACAGAACTTCTGGAAAAAAAATATCTGTAGAAGCAGAACTTCACCTCTCATCAAGGCTGTGATAGACCTGAAAACTTTTGGTCCCGCCCGATAATTTTTTGGAGTCCTACAACAAATCTAGGAATTCCTCCTGACACGTACACTAGAGAACACACAACACCTGACAACAGGTATTAGCAACAAATGAAGTTGTGCTATGGCTGAATGTGGCTTAAAGAAAATAGATAACAATATGCACAAATATAGAAATTACAATTAAAATGATTACTAGTTTGCATTACCATGACTGTATATGTATTGTGAGGAATCTATATTATATATTAAACATACATTCTGCTAGAAATTGACTTTTTTGACAAATCAAGCTCACTAATCATGACAGGATAATTCCCAAATGCTACTATCAAGCTATTTAACATATTCGAGCTGACAGAGGTAATTCTACAATTCATCTCAATCTGTATAAGTACAAAACTTACGTAACGCACTAAAGAGATATTGCAGCAAGTAAATAATCAGATAACCCTTTCCTATACTGTTTGATCAGAAGCAGCTCTAAAAGTCTGTTGCAATGTGCCTAGAGAATACTCCAGGGCTGAACCTGTAAAATGATAGGCTATACCTACAAGTTAAGCCGATAACAAGTATTCTCAAGCCTGCCCTTCCCTAGGCAGCTGACCTAATGTAATGGATTGCAGCCAAGCTCTTCCTTGAGCTACAGCTGCATGATCCTGCTCTGCTCCTGCCAGATTAGGGGTTCATCACAACCTTCACTGGCCAACTGTACTAATCAAAATGGCAGAAGGCAATGCAATGTTTCAGAGGAGGGGGGCCATTTTACCGGGGTGGGGGGTTCAGCATTATAGCTTTCTACTGTTTTTGTGACCTAAACTGTCTTACAGGGGAATACAAAAGAGCTAGGAAAGGGAGAGGTGAAGTGCTGAAGAGGATAGAGTGGGACATTTTCCTTCTGATATATTTGCTATATGTTAGATCACTCTATCTTATGGAACCATACCTTTAGTCTTAAGATTCATATGTTAAATCTTAACTACTTCTAAGACTATGACTATAAACCAAAACAATTTTAAGACATTATTTCATAACAGGTGAAAAACTGAGTTTTAGTCCTCAAGAGAAATAGGCAGCACAGGTTTCAGTTTCAGGCTGTAAAATGTGGAGGTAGAAGATGAAGAACAGCATCTTGGAAGCTAGAGAGATCATCAAAAGGACCTAATATCTTCAGAAGATATGATGCTCATGAAATAGAAAGACAATTTTTATTTCTCTTTTCCTACCTTCAATTTCATCAAACATACGAGACAGACATTAATTTCCATGCTTAATTATCCAGGGAAAAAAAAGACTGATTTTCTAATTTTCTCTACTTACACTACATTTAGTGGTCAGGTATGGCTGCATGGTCATGGCATGTTTGACCATTAGCTGGGGCCTGATTTTGCTGAATAAGAACAAAGTGGTTATGCAAGCAACCAAGCGACCAGAATTCACACCTTTGTTGTCAGAATCTGAAAAAAAAATAGAAAATACACAAAATAATGTTTGAGCAATGAAAAGCATGTGGCCAAAACATCACAGGAATATCTCTTTCATAACATATCTTTTAAGATCAATACAGAATATTCTTATTAGATTAGAGATGAGAACATAATGTGTTAACATTTGTATGTGATCACAAAATACGTGAAATAAGAAGCAAAGATGCTTCAAAGACATCACTATTTTTTAAACTACTTACTGTACACAGAACACTGGCACAGCCAATGATTCCTATTACAATTGTAGAACATATTAATGCAAATAAAGCTTGCCACATTTGTTTTGGTTTTGTTTTGTTCTAAAAGTTTGAACAAGTTATTTTAAAAGTAGTTCTGTTATTGTGGTTAGCTAGAGAAAATTAGGGAAGCTTTATTATTATACAGCACTCAAAAGTTCATAATGAACTTAAATGCAATAATTCATTACCATCAGTTTCGTAATAGGAATTCTGTAACTTTTCGTGATAGTAATTTGAACAACCACTGTTACAGTATCATATAAAATTCAAAGGAGCTACTGGGTTGTAAACAATATTACCTGATAAGGATTCCTCATATTTAAGAATGTGCTCAACCAAATTGTCAACAAGTTGAGTACAGGCTTTCTTCACAGGTTTATATGAGGCATCCTCTTCTGACTTCAACAGCTATAGCAGATGAAACAGAAAATGATTTAGTATTAAGGGTGCATTCATTTACACTGGATACATGCTGGTTTTATAACAATTACTACAGATACATAAGGATTTTGCACTACAAAAGCATTTAACTTCTCCATAAAAGTTACGTGGTGAAGAAAAAATTAAGGAAGGTAAAAGAAATCAAACCAAAATGCGAGAGAAGTAAAGACAAAGTAACCGTGACAAAAAGACAGAAAATAACAGTTCTACTGATTTTTGCATTGGGATGAAAGCTAACTTTGTGCTTAATGAAATAATGCAGAAAACAATAATACAGTCATACTTGCCAGCAGCAACTAATAGAAGTTAGAAGGATTTTTAAAACGCTTAGGGGAAAAAAAAAAGCAAATTCAAAAGGAAAGTTATTTTTGACACTAAGCAAAAATATCAAATTAAGATGAAACATAGTTCTATGAACATTTTAATCAGTTAATTTAATTGAGCCTGTACTTTAGCTTTTTCTTCAGTGCAGGCATTCAGAGGAACTTTGGTTTACTTGGTTACCTATTTTCATGGCACTCCAGGCTAAAGTCAAATCTTTGGAGACCTCTAATTCCCCCATGTATGCTTTTGTTAATTTTGCTTGAAAATTAACAAGTGCATACAAGTTGTAGAGGAGAAAGATAACACAGGCTAAGAGATCTAATCAAAGCAAGCTCATTTCTTAGAAAAATCAGAGTAAAATATAATGTAGAAGTAAGCTATACTCTGAAGATTCACTGCTCCTATAAACTGTGTAACAAATATACTGGACGTGAAAATACACGTATCTACCATTTAAAAAAATCTACATTACACTAGAGGTCTCATTTCAGAATTAAGTATCTTAGCTGTGGACTTCATGTTATGTCACTCGTTATTGAAGAGACCATGAAATTAAAAACACACACACACACACGCCCCCAAGTGAAGTATTTTTAAAACAGATCATATGGAAAGAAAGAAACCAATGTTAGAAAAAGAAAATTACACTGAGGAAGATTTAAAAAAAGGTCAGGTGTTTAAAGGGCATGAATCGAATTTGTCTACTGCAAAGGATTGCTCTTGTAGCCTCCCTTCAATGTGTTTTAGTACCAAAAGAAATATTAACATTCTTACAATGATTGTGCCATACATTCAAAATTCATTACTTACATTTTGAAGAAGCTGTTCAAACCAATCATACCCTGTATCTCTACAAGCTGCAACCTAAAAGTAGTTTTGAGAATAAGCTGTTTAAAAAAGGCAACTGAAGAAAAATTACTTCAATACAGATGTCATCTTAAAAGATCAGTAAACATGCATAGATATATTTTCGTATACATTCAGTACAATATCTTTGGAGATCAGAAACTGTCTTCTATATTTGAAAATTAATTCTCACCATTTAAGTAATCCCAGAATTTGTATCCCATACAACACAAGGCCTACACATTTTACCAGAGATTGCTGGCTCTAATGTAAACCAAATTTTGGTTTTGTAGAACAATATTTTGTACAGATTTAAGCACAAATACAAGCCTAACATATTAAAAATGAACATGTGTGTATATATATGTATGTACATATTTTTATATAAACAAACTAAGCCTTCACTGATATCACATGCCTGTGTTCTCGTGGGGGACTTCAACTTCCCAGATGTCTGCTGGAAATACTACGCAGCAGAGAGGCAACAGTCCCAGAGGTTCCTGGAGTGTGTGGAAGACAACTTCCTCACACAGCTGGTGAACGAACCAACCAGGGGAAGTGCCCTACTGGACCTACTGTTTGTTAACAGAGAAGGTCCTGTGGGGGATGTAAAGGTTGGAGGTCGTCTTGGGCTCAGTGATCATGAAATGGTAGAATTTTCAATTCTTGGTGAAGCAAGGCAGGGAGCCAGCAGAACTGCCACCTTGGACTTCCGAAGGGCAGACTTTAGCCTGTTCAGGAGCATGGTTGAGAGTGTCCCTTGGGAGGCAGTTTTGAAGGGCAAAGGCTCCCAGGAAGGCTGGTCTTACTTCAAGCAGGTAGTCTTAGAAGCACAGCATTCTCTGGAAAAGGGGGTTGGCATCTTATGAGGATTATCAAGATATAACAAAGCTATGTAGGGGGAAAATTAGAAGGGCCAAAGCTCAATCAGAACTCAGCTTGGCCACTGCAGTTAAAGACAATAAGAAGAGATTCTTTCAGTATATCAATAGGAAAAGGAAGACTAGGGAAAATGTAGGCCCACAGATGAATGAGACGGGTGCTCTTGTGGTGGAAGACACAGAGAAGGCAGAGTTACTGAATGCCTTCTTTTCTTCGGTCTTCACTGC